GGGGGTGGGGGTGGGGGAAATAGTGTGATGTGCACAGCATATAATAAACACGTAATGCCACAGGGTCTAAAGAGTTACACCAGACAGTAAGGTTTGTAAGGCAAGAGCTACATCTCATTTTGTGCATCAGGAATTTCTTGGTGGAATTTCTGTTTAAATAATATAATAGCATCATAGGTTGACATGTTTCGGATCCTTCAAATAAGGACAATATCCTGTTAGCCCTTCTGCTTTTTACTCGAAGAATTAGCCCAGGCAGACTTGAAACCTTACATTTGTACCGTTCTTCTTAAAATCAAGTTGTCTGAAAAAACAAACCATGTTTAAGTTAGTAAACTAATATTACAAAAAAATTCCAAAACGTCCATATCACTGTAAGCAGCTCAAAAATTGAAATTTGATTACTTAAAATATAAGCTCAGTGTTAGTACAAATCGCAATCCCCAAATAATTTTAGCTAACACATTATTATTAGTCACAGTACGAATTCAGAGCTTAAAGAAGTCACGGGACCAGCAATGTCATACCTACATATGCTGCCCACTTCACGTGTCAAAAAAGATAAATCTGTAACATCACATTTACAAATCACACACTTGTTTTGTAACGGGTGGGGTCATACCAACCAAAGCTTTGTGCTTCCGTGGCCCAGGTTTAATACAACTATGTTTTAGCCTACAATTGGAGAGGGGCAGAAACATGCGTATAGTTACAGTGCTTCTGCTGATGGGTGGTAATTTGATCGCCCTGGACTGCACGACCTTTCCTCACACAGCTCTTCTGTAAAGGAGCTGCACCAGCAACACAAGATAAAAATATTGTGCCGGTAGCCTCCCTTGAGCGAGATACCTGTTCTGCTGCTTTCTATCACAGCTGATCATCAATCTGCATACAAATAAAGATTTCTGCAGTCAACCCTGCACACCTGCCAGGTACCTTCAAGCTGTCACAATACAGCAGCTCTGTCAGATGCGATGCCGCAGCCGTCCCAGACATCACTGGATGAACCTGACGTGCCCTGCTGACCCACTTCAGCTGGCACTGCCCACCACGGTTTCTAAAGCAGCACTGACGACCGCACTGACAGAGGAAACTGTTGTCGCACGTGAATTTTTTTTGTAAAAAACATGAAGTTTGGGAGGTGTTTGGGTTTTCTGTAACTTAAGACGACAACCACTGTCAAAGTTGTCTAATTTACAAATATTTTCTAGTAGCCAGTGACCTAAATTCAGGTCTCCAAATAACCAATCACGTTTCAGCATGCTCTCCACGTAGGTCAGCAACACGGAGTAGTTTTGAAAATGGACAATAATATTCTTTTGGAGACACACTATTTCCATTAAATATTATTAAACTCCCAGAAGCTGAAAACTGTCTGTGCAGATTAGGTACCAGCAGCGGCCCCTACCGACCAGTAAACTACAGCGTGTGTCCCCCCTAGAACTTCCCCTGCCCGCTCAAGCGCCTGCAGAGTTTAACATCGTGAGCCCCACTGCTCTGAGCTCCAGTCACACCGACAGTACGTGCCTCCCCCAGTTCTCCTCAAACCAACACCAGCCCACCACTCTAATCAATGCAGCTAGAATGAACTCGCAGAGGACTCCGCTGCTACATAAACTTCACCTCTGTAGCTGAAACTGCTGATAATGCAACAACTTCCACAGGCACTCTTATTGCGTACAATATGCCCAAAGAAATCTATTTACCTGTATACCTTGACAATCAGCGGTGATAGAAGAAGGCAAAGCATATAGTTTTCTGGAAATATAATTTCTCAAAACTATAGAGCTTGTAATAATAAAAACCCTATCACCCACTGCACCTTTGGGGTGGTTTTTTTTTTTGGCAGACACGCAGTCACACATCATCTCTAACAATATTCATATGGCCAAAGATTAAATAATTGGTCAAGTCAACTGACGTAAACACTCTCAGCAACCAGGCAAGTTGTTTTCAACGAACAATTCTTTCACATTACGTATGACGACTTACACAGTATGTAAGTCATCCTTGACACTTCAGTGCCTGGGTCAGAGAGCAAATTTAATGACAGAAGACTTGCTTTTATTTATTAATTAATTTTCTTCTATTCTGTGCATAAAGGACTTAAGTTCACACCTTTGAGATAGGTGGAACAGGCTGCCATCGTTTGTGATTAAAAAAGTTCTGGGATGTTTTAAGTGCCTGAACACCACTGAGAAGGCACACTCACCTGAAAGTTAGCACTGGTTGGTCTCTACTACAGGCAAGCTTACAACAGCATCGCTTCCTGCAGCCATTAAGGGTGACAGGAGATAATTAGAAATGCTGGGAGAAGTAAATGGAATACCCCCAAAAAAGTAAAAAACCCATATAAACTGGGGCCAAAAGTGAACTAGTTAATCTGGAGCTCGGTAATTATTTCACTTTTATCTGAGAATCTACATTTTAAAGAAGCAAAAATATACTTCTACAAGAAAGAGAAAACAAAAGGAAAACAAACCTGGCTAAATGTTGGTTTGTTGTGCAACCGAGAGCATCTGTCTCCATGCCGACAAGCTCCGATTTTGAAATAAAATGAACAGTTGACTCTGCAAGTAAAAAACCCAAAGTAGTTACATATTGGTACACAAAGACATAACCTGCAATTCCAATAAAACATATGCCCTAAACGCTTTTATTTTGATGTGAAGAAGTAACATAATAAACGCTTTTATTTTGATGTGAAGTAGTAACATAAAAAACAAAACAAAACACCAGAACAGTGTAGGATAGCATTACAGCAAACCTGTTCATATTCATTCCTCCTTACCCCTAATTTACAGCCAGTCATCTAATCAATTTCACCAGCCACTCAAATCCGAAGTGCACTCATGACACCACCATGGACAGAAGCCATCACTACTGTTTTACCCTTCTGGTTCTCCATTCCTGTCTTTGTAACCTTTTCACCGGGCCATGGGATAGGACATAAGGCGAAAAACAGTCTGGAAAGTTACACTAGGAGCTACACGGTCGTGTCAGTTCATGCAACCCCCTCGTCTAGGAAATAAAACCTGCTTTAAAGCTGACACAGTTGCACCTACCTAATGTTTTATAAACCACCTGTTTAAAGTTATACTCTACAGGCAACTTGGACTGCTGCCAGTGCAGCATTTGAAATAATTCAGATAAAGAGAAAAATCATGTTACAGAGAGAATACACATAAAAGCAAAATAAATTCATTTAATTAAGCCATTTCCACACATGTAGTTAATAATTTTAAAAGGAAGCACTTAATTGTTATTTTTTTAAACCACAAGCTTTTCTTGAATTAATTATCATGTAATGAAACCTTCAAAACCATGCTGCTTTAGGAATGCCAGAAAGACTCTCACATATAAGTGCACACATGGAATGATGAAAGAAAACCATAAGGAGCTTAGTTACCTTGACTGGGAAAACTGAAATCAAAATTCTGAAGGGCAAGAAAACTATTATGGGCTATATATGTGTAAGTGAAATATTAGAATTCTCCTGGAAGAAAGGTTATTATTCCCATGCTCACAGTTAACACCAATTCTTTCCACAATCCTGTGTGACTAACATCAAATCACAGAAGGGAGAGATATTAAAAGTACTAAAGCATACCTGATCTCTAGCAAAACATTCCACCGTAAAATTGTAACATGCTTATTCTTCATTACATTTTTGAAAATATATACTTAGCATTACAATATACTTACTGTCTTTTCTGAACTCTATCCTGAAACAAAAAAAATACCTAACTACAGAATTTCCAACAGTGACTCCAACACGTTCTGGAAAGTTCTGCTTGCTTTTTGCATAGGAAATAAAGACCAGTACAGGTATTTCATGCCTGCCGTATTGGCATACGCTAATACTGTTAAATGTAATGCATTATATCAGAAAGGATGATACAGTAACAGAGCTCAAGAGAGGCTGCCGATACTGCTTTTCTGACAGACGAGCGCATAGGAACTGACACGTAGCACTACAAAGCAGAAGGAAAACAGAAGCCTCACGGCCAGAGGCTGACAAGAGTAATTTTTAGTCCAGCAGCACATCGATTTCATTTTTAGGAGTGGAAAAACACGTTGGTTTGGTCAGGCCGACGGTGACCAAATTTTCGTTAGGAGGGTTTTGTAAGTATGCTTCCAACAACCAGAGAAACTAGAGACGTTCCCGACGCGTGGAAGGCTGCAGGCAGAAGCCTGAGGATCAGGATGCAGCAGTCGGGGAAATCCTCCGCACCCTGGGGAGGGGGGAGAAATAACCAGTCGCTGTCCTTGCAGCAGAGCGGAAGCTCTCGGGCTGCTGCGAGGGGCAGGGACGTGAACAAAAGGGGAAGAGGAGGCCCTTTCTGGCAGGAGGCGGCGGGAAGCTCGGCACCCAGCGGCCCCGACC